GTGACTTGTTTCCAGCTTATAGATTGCCACGCCTTGTTTGCAAGGCACCTCTAAGTAGGCTCAAACCCTCCACCTTTTGGTTAGGGGCTGTGCATGTTAGCTGTTCAGTAGGCATTTAGCCAGGCCCTTGTGAGTAACTTTAAGCCTCTGAGCACTTTTGTGGCATCCTGGGTGATGTGAACAGCTTGTGCTGTGCTGTGCTGCTCACTGCAGGGGCAGAGGCCTGAGGCCACCAGAGATGCCTGGAAACCAACACCACGCAGTCTCCTCATGAATGTCCAGCCGTCAAAAACACGATAGGAGACAGTGTTCTACTCCTACATACCTGGGATCCCCATGTGTCAAGATCAACTTCACAGCTGCTGGTAAATGTGTCACCACCCTTCTCTTGACCTTGTACAAAGAATGATGTGAATAAGTAGGTTATGCTCCTTGGGGAGAGATTGCTTATTCATTCCACAGACATTTACCAAGCGCCCATGTGGGCAGGCGCCGGGCATGGGGCTAGGTGCCTGGGCACCCCAGCTAGCCAGGGGCTCTAGCTTGGGTGAGGAGACAGACTCAAAGCCACCACAGACAGCCCATGGAAGGAAAGGGTACAGGCACTGTGCTCGGCTCCCGGGGCTACACCCCACTCCACGGTGGCTGCCTCAGTGTCCTCATCCGCGAGGGACAGGCTCATGTAGGCTCCTGTGCCATGCATGCTGCGAGGACAGCCTATAAACAGCACCTTCATTCATGAGGACGCGGTAACAGTAGTGTATTTACTTTTAATGTGGGGAAAGAATGAGTAATTGCCTCTTGTATAATTTACTGCCTCTGAAAACCCACTGGAACATCAGCAGTCAGCTATGGGTCTCTTCCAACTCGACAGTACACAACAGTAACAACAATTCTTTTTAATGTTTTGTTATTACTGCTATCACCTCAGTAGGGAGCTCTGGTGATGTGGTGGTTAAGGAACTGAGCTGCCAACTCAAAGGCAGGTGGTTCAAATCCACCAGCTGCTCATCAGGAGAAAGATGGACACCCTCTTCCCGTACATTTTACAGCCTTTGAGAACCTGCTCTCAGGCTGGCTATGAGTCAACTCAAGGACATAGAACCACCACCACAGAAGTGCTACCAGATATGAAGGATGGCTAGGAAGTTCTCAGGGAAAATCGACCAAACACTTCACAAAAGAAATGGCTTTTGGAGATGAATCTTAAAGGGTTAGTGGAACTTGGCAAGTAAAAAGTGAAAGCTTGTGCAGTCAGGTTGGGGGAGGGTGTACAGCCTGTCACAGTGCCAGCAAGAAGGGCTTGGTGGGGACAGTTGCTGGTGGTGTGACCGGAGCCAGGTTGTGCGGGCCTGAGTCTGGGAAGCAGGAGTGGGGTGAGGCTGGTGGAGAAGGGCTGCACTAGGGGCTCTGGAACTCAAGGCTCCAGGACTCTATGCATGAGTGGATGGAAGCCTCAGAGCACCTTCGGCCTGGGCTAGCTTTGTTTTTTCTTTTCTGGAGCAAGCAAGGAGCGCTGGTCACTCTAATCTCAGTCTAATCCCCTGCAGCGAGATGCTGGGGGCTTTATGACATGGAGAGGGACAGAATGTGCCAGATCTGCACATCACTTTGATGGACTGACTCTGGGCTGTCAAATGCAGGGACAGAGGGCCCGGCCAGCTGAGTGAGGGCCTCCTCCATGGCCAGGTCCCTGCAGGCACCCCAGCTCTAGACAGCAGGGCTCTCATAACTCCTTTAGCACCTAGAGGAGCCTTCCAGGCTGTCAGGAGGTGACGTGCTTTCTCTTGTCTCTCTGGCTGCTTACGCTGCCTCAGGCCAAGGCCTGGAAGCCGGCCTGGCAGAAGTGGACACTGACTGGGGCATCTGAGCCAATGCAGTAGCTTAGGTGTTTCCCAGAGTCGATGGCCTTGCGCCCACGGCTTTGCTGAATCAGCCCGGCATCTGGCACCCACCGCATTCTGACCAGTGTCCCAAGGTCACCAGTAAGCCCTGCATCCCTCAGACATTTGCGTCCCCTGCACAAAGTCAGCCCATGGTACTGATGCGGTTACAAGTGAGGCCGACACCATCCTCAGCTTGTGGAGCGTGACGTCCCTGGAGAGTCTGACACTAGACAAATCACTGTGGCTGTCAGCGGCCGTCCTGCTGACTCCCGTGCTAGCCCGCATGTGCAGGGTGGGACTGCTGCAAGGGATTTTCAAGGCTGGAGGTCATCGGGAAGCAGAGGCCCCAGCCTGCCTTCCAGTGTGCCTCTCGGCAGGCCAGAACCACCACCCCTTTGGCCAGCAGTCAGGGAATCCAGCATCCAGGCTGAGAAGGGAAGTCCAGGGTCAGACTTGTGGCAAGCAGGGGACACGACAGGGACGGGGGGCCTATGATGCAGGCAGTGCAGGCCCAGGTGACGGGGGCAGGGGACACTTCCCTGATTCCTGGTGGACCCTGAGCAGTCAGGGGTGGGGTGGAGTAGCTGGTGAAGGTGACCGGTGCCCATAGTCCAACTTAGCCTCCAGCCTCATCCCCCTCCAAGCCCTGGGGCCCAGGCACTGCTGTCCACTCCCCTCTGCTTCACCTCCTCCCTCCTGCTGCCACTCCAAGACTGCTGGGTTGTTTTGCTGACTTATTTTGCTCCTCACACTCAGATGGCCTTAACCACACATAGACCTGCTTAGAGGGCATAGGTCAGATTGTTCCAGCTCAGGCTTCACCCTCAGAGGGCACAGGCCCTTGGATAGCTCGTGGCTGACCACTGGTGTCCTTGCCTGTCTAAGAGATTCCCTTTATGATGTCCGTCTGGGGATTTAGTGACAGGATGGCAGCAAATACTTTGTATAAGGCTTGGGTAAACAAACTTCTTTCTTCTTCAGCATCAGAAACTGACTTGGTTCAGTTAGCTTTTTTTTTTTGGTCCCCTCTGGAGACTTAATAATGTGGGCCAGTGTGTCAAACTGATCCTTGAGTGATAACCTGTATCAGAAATGTTCCATGTAAGTCTTCGAAATGCCCAATGCAGGAGTCATGAGATGGAGTGATTCCAGAATCCACTTGAATTAACACCTGGTGACCACATCACTCAGGACGGATTAACTTGAGCTCCCATCTTTTGTCTGTTCATTCATTTAGAAGTTATTTTAGAGACTTTAGTTAGTGATGGTAGAATAATTCAGAAAAAGATTGTGATAATGGTTACGCATCGTGAAGAATATACTCAATGTCACTGAATTAATAAACCAAACCCATTGCTATTAAGTCTGACTCCTAACTACCCTATAGGAGCCCTACATACACTACCGAGCCTAGGGAGCTCTGGTGGCCTTATAGGAAAGGCATTGTATTGCCAGCCCCAAGGCAAGTGGTTCGAGTCCATCAACTGCAATACAGATGGCAGGCAGACAATCACTTCCCATGCAATTTGTAGTCTCTGAAAACCTTTTGGAGGGTCAGCTATGAGTCAGTTCTGACTCAAGGTTGGAACTGACATAACAACAAGAGCCCTGGTGTGGAGAGTGCCTTATGTTGATCTGTTGGTCCGCTACTGGAGGGTCATGGAGTTGGAATCTGTTTGACAGCAGCAGAATATGGCTTAGAATTGCACCCTAGGTCCTAAGTTTCCCAGGCTGTAAATCTTCACGGAAACAGACTGCTTTATCTTTCTCCTGCTGAGCACCTGAGAGATTTGAACCGCCAACCTTTCTGTTAATAAATAAGCACTTTAGCCATCACACCCCCAGGCGTCCTTGCCATTTAATTATGTGTGTAAAAATTATTGAGTAAGCAATGAATGAATGGAAATCCAAATTAAAAATAAAATTATTGAGTTAGCAAATGTTTTGTTGTAAATGTTTACTGTTGTGGCAAGGCAGGTATTTGAAACACCAACCTTTGGGCTAGTAGTTAAGGACTTTGACCCAGGAAATTACTGTGTGGTAGGTGCTGAGAACACAGTATTGAGCAGAAAAGCCAGTCTCTGCCCCTCAGGGTCCCTGCAGTGCACTGAGGGAGACTTGTCTTGATCAGAGAATATCAGAAACTCTGCTGTGCATGGTACAATGTGCTCTGAGGGTGTAGTAGGGAGATTTGACCTGGCACGTTGGCGGGGGGATGTCCGTGAAGCACCAGTAGTGGAACTGGCATTGGAACAGACACCAACCAGAAAAAGATGGGAGAGGGAATATTCCAGAGCAAACAGCATGGGCAGCTGCATGGTGGACAGCAGGAGCAGGAGGGAGAAGTAAGGGCTGGCAGAGCCTTGCAAGGGAGCTCTCTCGTGGCTTAGTGGCAAGGAGCTGTGCTCGTCTCCCATGGTTCGTATCCACCAGCAGGTCCTTGGGAGAAAGATGGGCAGCCTCCTCCCTTACTTATTTTAGAGCCTTGGAAATCCAGTGGTGATTGATGTTAAGTGAAGACGGGTACAAAGGAAGTGAGCGAACTGTAACCTAGAGGCTGACAGTTCACCCCCACCAGGGGCACTGCAGAGGAGAGCACTGGTGACTGCTTCTGTGATATTACAGTCAGGACACACAGGGAGTTCTGCCCTGGGACATGTGGGGCTGCCTCAGAATCCACTCAGTGGTGCTGGGTATTCTGGCAGCCCCATGATGGGATCAAGTCTGAGGATACCGAAGTCTGGAGGAACTTCGAGGGGAAAGGAAGCCCAGGGTATGGGTGGGCTCCGAAGAGCAGCATCCCGTGGGATCTGGCAGCTGGAGAGGAAGGTGGGCCTTAAGCTGCAGGAGATATGGCTGCCCTACCATTTTTTTCCCCTTTCATGACCCTGGACCACCCTTTTGTGCTGCCAGACCACAGATTGACAGAGATTGAAGGAAGGTGGGTGTGGAGTTGTAACTGGAGACAGTGGCTTCCCAAGTGAGCACAGAAAAACCTCAAGGCATTTCTATGAACCCGCAGACTCACAGAGACATGCTCATAGCATTTCCATCAAATAGGATCCAGGAAAATCTCATTTCTCTCTTTTTTTCTTTCTCACCCCACCTCAGGCTTATATTTGGCACCCTCTACCCTGCGTATTACTCCTACAAGGCTGTGAAATCAAAGGACATTAAAGAATATGTAAGTGACACTTTGGTGAGGTAGTTCTGCAGGGGAGGTGGGAGGAGACAAAGGTGAGGGCATGAAGTGAGGGGAGAAAGGTGGCTGCCCCCATGGTGTGGACCTGAGTGCAGGACACGGCATCTGTCTGGTCCTGTCTTTGCCTTGTGTGCCTGCTATGCCACTGGAGTCCTCCCTGCACGGACCTGACTCTTACATCCAAAGTGTTGATGTGAGGAAAGCCGGTGAGACGGGAGAGGAGAGTTACGTCCGGAGTCGGGCAGCCACCAGATCTGCTGTCCACCGCCCTAAGGCCTATGGGCAAGTTAACTCACCTGGGAAGCTTGATTTCCTTGTCTGGAAAGCATTCTGTAAACCTCAGAGCATATTTGGGGAATCATCGCCGGAAAACTGCCTGGCTGTGAGGCCGAGAGCCCAGAGCTGGGCTAAGCATGTGACTCGCAGCCCTGGGCCTTGAGCTCATCCCAGAGCTACGATTTGATTACCTTTCTTTAAGCCCTTATGAGGTTTTTTCGGACAGAAGCTGTTCATCATCCCATTTCCATTTCCCACAGAGCCTAACAGGAAGGGGACCCAGGGTGTAGTGTTTACTTAACACTGCTGGGGAGTTTGGGGTGCCCAGGTCAACAGCTCTCATGATGCTGGACCCCCTTCTCCCAGCAAGAGAGTTGTTAAGGATTGCGTGTTACTCTCAATCAAAATATGATTTGAATCACCCCTGATTGACAAAGACCTGGGTGGTATGGGTGCCCCTTCTCATGTAAGACAGAAAACTAGGTCAAGATGGGGAGGATCTAGCTTCCTGATGTTAGAGAACCCAGGGCACGTCCTCATGCTGAGGTCAGACTGTGTGACATCAGAACTTGAGTGGCGACTGTTCACACACTCATTCACTTCCACTGAGTTGAAGCCGACTCAAACTGACTTTCAGCGGGTTTTCAGATACTGCAAATATCAAAGGAGGAAATTGCCCATCTTTCTCCTGAGAAGCAGTTGGTGAGCTTGAACTGCCTGGCTTTGAGTTGGCAGTTCAGAACTTTACCCACTAGATCACCAGTGTTCCTTAGGACTGGTGGATGTTTGGAGGAACAAAGGATGCTTGCTCTCACTTTTACTCAGAGGTGTTATTCGGCTAGTTTTGGTGTAAGAGATCCTTCCAGGTGGGCTCAGCAAGCTCTTTCTCAGAGAACCCAGATTGTCCTTGTGATGAAATCAGCTGCCTCAAGATCTGCTGCACACAAGCTCTCCCTCCACTCTCCCTGTTTCCTGGAACTGCTTGCCTGAGCTTGCCTTTTGCCAGTACAGCGCAGAGGAGCCAGGCAGGTGGCTTCTTCTCTGGAGACAGGGCCCTTGTACATATGTGGGGGATGAGAGTGCAAGCTATAAATAGCTGTGCAGAAGTTCAGGGTTCTCACTTAACTAGGCAGCCTCCTCCAGGCCTCTCTCTCCTGACACCTTCCAGCCTGCGCTCCAGGAAGCTGTGCCAGGTTAGGTGGCTTCAAGGGGGTCTTAGCCCCTGCTTTGCAGGGCCAGAAACTCAGTTCTGTCAGCTCACAGGATGCATCAAGCTGTGCAAAACTGGGTGGCCTGTGACTCACCCCAGGCAGCCTGGGTTAGGCCTAGAACGTGGTCCGTTAATTTAAGAGTGGAGTGTGTCCCTGACAGGTGGAGCAGCTGGTGGTTTTGGCTGGTGAACACTGACTTTCTGGGGGGCAGGTGGCTGCAGAGCTGAGATTCAAAGGTAAAAATGCAATTGAAAGAAAGGGACTGAGTAGTGATGTTAAGGGGGACCTTCCTCCTCTCTGCACTCACTTACATGTGCATACACAGTGTCCCACACACACTTCCAACACACGTGCATACTGTGTGCCTGTGTTCCTATTATCTAATAGACCCACACATCAGGAACAGAATCTGGGGATTGCCTTAGACCCTGCCTCTCTCCCTTCACCCAACCTCACATACCCCTCAGCTGGCAACTAAGATTCTTCTTCATCTCTGTCCTTCAGATAATTTCTCATCCTTCTCTGCACCCACCATCTCTACTATTGTTGTTGTTGCTGTTGTATATCATAAAGTCGGAACCGACCCATAGGTGGCCCTCCAACAGGTTTTCACAGACAAATTAATTGCACGAAAGGAGATTGCCCAGCCTTCTCTCGCCCATCTCTAATGTTGTTATTGTTATATGCCATTGAGTTGTTTGCGACTCATATCTACCCTATGCACAACAGCCCTAAACTCTGCTCTGTCCTGTGCCAATTGCACCGTCTCTGACACACCCATCCCTATTACCCCAATCATGGAATCATTCCACCTCATAGAGGGCCTTCCCCTCCTGCACTGTCCCTCCACCCTCCCAAGCATGATGTCCTTCTCCGAAGACCGGTCTTTCCTTATGACATGTCCAAAGTATGGTAGACAGAGCCTCAGAACCCTTGCCTCCAAAGAGCCAGCCAGTTTAACTTTTTCCAGGATGAATCTGGTCATTTTCCTAGCAGTTCATGGTACTCACAATACTCTTTTCCAGCACCACAGCTCAAAGGCATCAATTCTACTTCTATCCTCCCTGGTCATTGTCCAACTCTCTGATGCATAACAAGTGATTGCAAAGACCAGCTTGTATCAGACACACCTTAGTCTCCAGAGAGACACCATTGCTCTTCAGTACTTTGGAGAGGTCCCTAACAGCAGACTTTCCCATGGCAATATGCCTTTTAACTTCCTGGCTACTGGTGCCAAGAGTATTGACTGTGGAGCCAAGCAAACTAAAGCTGTATACAATCTCAATCTCTTCACCATCCATCCTGATGCTTCCAATTGACCCAGTGGTGAGAATCTTTGTCTTCTTAACATTGAGCCTCAATCCATATTGGAGGCTACAGTCCTTGACCTCTGCAGCAAGCCCTTCAGGTCCTCCTCAGTTTCAGCAAGCAGGGTTGTGTCATCTGCATAATGCAGATTGTTGATAGATCTTCCACAAATCTTAACCCCACATTTTTCCTCGTAGAGCCCAAACTCCCACATAATCTGTTCTGTATACAGGTTGAACAGGTATGGAGACAGGACGCATCCCTGGCATACACCCTTCCCAGTTTTGAACCATGCAGTGGTTTAAAAGAAGATAGAAAGAATATATTGAGTCACTATATCAAAAAGAATTGGCAGACACAGAAGAATTTCATGAAACAATATATGAGCAAGAGCCTATAGTGATGAAGGAAAAAGTTCAGGCTGCTTTGAAGGAAATGGCAAACAATACGACTCCAGGAATAGATGGTATACCAATTGACATATTTCAGCTAACAGATGCTGCCCTGGATGTGCTCACCAAGTTGCAAGAAATCTGGAGAATAACAACTTGGCCAACTGACTGGAAGAGATCTATATTTGTTCCCATCCCAAAGAAAGGTGATCCATCAGAGTGTGGAAACTATAGAACAATCTCATTGATTTCACATGCAAGTAAGATTCTACTGAAGATTATCCAAAAACGACTAGAACAGCACATCAACAGAGAACTGCCAGAAGTCCAGGCTGGGTTAAGAAGGGGTTGTGGTACTAGGGATATTATAGCTGATGTTAGATGGATCTTAGCTGAAAGCAGGGAATACCAGAGGAATGTATATCTGTGCTTCATTGACTATGCAAAGGCATTTGACTGTGTGGATCATAACAAACTGTGGCTGACTCTGAGAAGAATGGGAATCCCAGAACACTTGATCTTTCTAATGCGAAACCTATACTTGGACCAGGAGGCAGTCGTCAGAACAGAGCATATCTAATGAGTTCTCATTAATTCTTCCCCTGGATTGTTGCAAGAGCCTCTTCTGTTGGTGTTTTGTTGCCACTGTAAACAACATAGCAGCCTATGACAGCTCATGTTTGTCCGTACAGTTCTACAGGCCAGAAGTCCAGTGGTTCCAGATGGGCTGAAATCGAGGTGTGAGCAGGGCTGCACCTCCTCCAGAAGCACTAGGGGAGAGAGTCCATGCTCTTGCCTTTCTGAGAGGCCATCCACAGTCCTTTGCTGGACCCCTTCCTCCATCTTCAGAGCTGCAGTGTTCTATCTCTCAGGCCCTTTTTCCATAGTCACAGCATTCTCACTGCTTCTGGGAAAGGTTACCAGCTTTCAAGGATTCGTGTGATGTCATTGAGCCCACCCAGGTGTGTCAGGGGCCTCTCACTGTCTCCAGGCCCTTGATTGAATCGCATCTGCAGTCTCTGTAGTAACATACCCCCTCAGGGTTCAGGGGTGGATATCTTTGGGAGGCCCTTATTCTCACTGGTTCCCCTGCCACCTCATTTTCCTCTCCTCAGCATCCAGAGCCTTTTGAAGATGGAGAGCTATTCATTACACTCCCCGAAGTTTTTAAATGTCTACAAGATTGAGTCCAGGTCCGTGTGCAGTGTGTAAGACCCCTCTCAACTTTCCCCTTCTCCACACTCCTCCACAAGTATCCAGTGTCGTAGATCTCAAGACTCAAAGTGTGATTTGAGGACCAGCATCACCTGAGAGCTTGGGAGAAGATCCCACCCAGATCTCCTGAATGGAAACATGTACTTTTAACATGGTCCTCAGTTCAAGAAATGCAGCTCTGGAGGACCAGTGGGTAAAGCACTGACCATAAGCCCACCCACTGTTCTGCAGAATAAGCATGTCGCCATCTTCGAAGGGTTGCTCCTTAGGACACGCATTGGGACAGTTCTCTTTTGTCCTGTAGTGTCTCTGTGAGTCAGTAAACTCAACAGTAATGGGGTTGCGGTTGGGTTCTTGGCAGTTACAGCTTGTTAGGTTTTCCTGTCCTTGCAGTACTTGTCAAAGTTCTCAATGAAAACTTAAAGTAGGTGAAAGTTTATGGGGATTGTTGAATTAACAACAAAGACATTCAGAAATTGAGAGGATCAGAAAAGGCTGGGAGGTAGAAACAGCCAAGCTCATACCAGGAAGGGTCTGGATAGGAATCCACGGCCCGTGTCACCACCATGGACTGTGGCTG